AAAAAAAAAAAAAGAACCATCAAAAGGAGAAATTCTCACGTCAACTATCTGACAACATTTTAATAGGAGGAAAGTCTTCCCTGTCTCTCAATCCCATCTGAGACTCTCTCTCTGATTACTGGACCAGAGGATCCAGAGGTCCTTTCTAACCTTATGCTAACCAGAGCCTTGAATAACAAGTTTTATGGTGGTTTGTTTAACTTGAATATCCCTCCTATGGCCCTAAAGATTACCTCATTTAGAAGCACCAAATATATTCTCCAGCCCTATATCCTGGCACAACCCACAGAAGTTGTTCGATTCAACAAGCATTTATTGAGCACCTACTATGTTCCAGGTACTGTATAAGGGCATGGCTAAAAGCACAAAGACCCTGCCTGATCTAGGTGCTGAGCAGATAAGATCATGGAGTTTTCAGGAACCAATTCGAATAGCTGGGGACTACAGCTTTGTTACCCTCACGCAGGAAATACTATCTACAGAACCAGCTTGCTAACTTCACAGACAAAGCCAGTTTGGGTACTTGTAGATACAGTACAAAAATATAAAAAGATAACGGCAAAATGAGTTTCTAATTAAGTGATCTTAGTTCATGGAATCAAGTGTTCAAGAAAAGATATATAAAATGGCTCTTTTCAGTAGTAAACTAACTGCCTGTGAGAAGGAGGGAAAGAGGTCGATTGGGGACAGAGGTGGGAGAGCACAGGAGCCTTTTTACTGATTCTCATTTGAGTTTTGTACCATTGGGGTATTGCAGGTATTACCTATCCAGAAATAATAACAATCAGGTCCTAATATCAAAGAGAATTATTTATGTATGCCTTGAAACTAAACTGTTATATATGCAGGAGGTACGGTTGTTCAATTTTGATGTAATATTGTGATTACAAAGAGGCACCTGGGTGGCTCAGTCGGTTAAGCGTCCGACTCCTGATTTTGGCTCAGGTCATAATCTCAGGTTCTTAAGATGGAACCCCACATCGAGCTCTGGGCTGACAGTGCGAAGCCTGCTTGGGATTCTCTCTCTCTCTCTGCCTCTCTCTCTGCCCCTCCCCTTCTTGTGCTTTCTCTCTCAAAAATAAACGAATAAACGTAAAAAAAAAAAAAAAAA